AAAAAAAAAAGTGCTCAGAATTCACTTTTATGCACATTGGGGGAGAGCTAGAGAAGCACCGAGTCCAAAAAACCGAGTTACATCGATTTCCGAGACCAAAAAAATTCGACCCAAAAATGGATTTTGGTACCACAGGTAGCTACCTGTTGAAATTGACCAATTTTGCCTTTTTTGAAAATTCAAATTTTGCAGCTTCACCACGGCCAAACCAGTTGAGATAGGGAGATGAAATTTACACAGCAACTAGTTTGAAATCTTAGCTTTACAATGCCACAAACCGCGATTCCATATCTGCCTTACTTTGGAAGCACTGAGCGTTTTAGTTTTGTCCATGAAAAACCGGATTTTTTGGCACTTTTCCGCAAAAAAAAAGTGCTCAGAATTCACTTTTATGCACATTGGGGGAGAGCTAGAGAAGCACCGAGTCCAAAAAATCGAGTTACATCGATTTCCGAGACCAAAAAAATTCGACCCAAAAATGGATTTTGGTACCACAGGTAGCTACCTGTTGAAATTGACCAATTTTGCCTTTTTTGAAAATTCAGATTTTGCAGCTTCACCACGGCCAAACCAGTTGAGATAGGAAGATGAAATTTACACAGTAATTAGTTTGAAATCTTAGCTTTACAATGCCACAAACCGCGATTCCATATCTGCCTTACTTTGGAAGCACTTGGCGTTTTAGTTTTGTCCATGAAAAACCGGATTTTTTGGCACTTTTCCGCAAAAAAAAAAGTGCTCAGAATTCACTTTTATGCACATTGGGGGAGAGCTAGAGAAGCACCGAGTCCAAAAAACCGAGTTACATCGATTTCCGAGACCAAAAAAATTCGACCCAAAAATGGATTTTGGTACCACAGGTAGCTACCTGTTGAAATTGACCAATTTTGCCTTTTTTGAAAATTCAAATTTTGCAGCTTCACCACGGCCAAACCAGTTGAGATAGGAAGATGAAATTTACACAGCAACTAGTTTGAAATCTTAGCTTTACAATGCCACAAACCGCGATTCCATATCTGCATTACTTTGGAAGCACTGAGCGTTTTAGTTTTGTCCATGAAAAACCGGATTTTTTGGCACTTTTCCGCAAAAAAAAAAGTGCTTAGAATTCACTTTTATGCACATTGGGGGAGAGCTAGAGAAGCACCGAGTCCAAAAAACCGAGTTACATCGATTTCCGAGACCAAAAAAATTCGACCAAAAATGGATTTTGGTACCACAGGTAGGTACCTGTTGAAATTGACCAATTTTGCCTTTTTTGAAAATTCAAATTTTGCAGCTTCACCACGGCCAAACCAGTTGAGATAGGGAGATGAAATTTACACAGCAACTAGTTTGAAATCTTAGCTTTACAATGCTACAAACCGCGATTCCATATCTGCCTTACTTTGGAAGCACTGATCGTTTTAGTTTTGTCCATGAAAAACCGGATTTTTTGGCACTTTTCCGCAAAAAAATAGTGCTAAGAATTCACTTTTATGCACATTGGGGGAGAGCTAGAGAAGCACCGAGTCCAAAAAACCGGGTTACATCGATTTCCGAGACCAAAAAAATTCGACCCAAAAATGGATTTTGGTACCACAGGTAGCTACCTGTTGAAATTGACCAATTTTGCCTTTTTTGAAAATTCAAATTTTGCAGCTTCACCACGGNCAAACCAGTTGAGATAGGAAGATGAAATTTACACAGCAACTAGTTTGAAATCTTAGCTTTGCAATGCCACAAACCGCGATTCCATATCTGCCTTACTTTGGAAGCATTGGGCGTTTTAGTTTTGTCCATGAAAAACCGGATTTTTTGGCACTTTTCCGCAAAAAAAAAAGTGCTCAGAATTCACTTTTATACACATTGGGGGAGAGCTAGAGAAGCACCGAGTCCAAAAAACCGAGTTACATCGATTTCCGAGACCAAAAAAATTCGACCCAAAAAATGGATTTTGGTACCACAGGTAGCTACCTGTTGAAATTTGCCAATTTTGACTTTTTTGAAAATTCAAATTTTGCAGCTTCACTACGGTCAAACCAGATGAGATAGGATGATGAATTTTAACAGGTACTAGTTTAAAATCTTAGCTTTGCAATGCTACAAACCTCGATTCCGTATCTGCCTTACTTTGGAAGCACTGAGCGTTTTATTTCTTCCTCCTTATGACTAGTGACTGGCTGGCGTCGGTGGGCTGGTAGTGGTTTCTGTTGTTGGTCAGGTCGGTGGTTACCCTGGATTGGTAGGCTGTGTTGTAGGTAGGTCGGCGATGGGGTGGGATATAGATGAATTGGTTGGTTGGTGGTAGAGGTCGATGGAAGACAGGGCCGTTTTAGGGTACGTGATGTTGGTTTAGTTGACGATTAGTGTTTTTATGTCTGGCTTCTTGGCAGTGGTTGTTGTAGTTGGGGAGCATAATGAAAATAACTTGAGGTTAGAAAGTGAATGTACAGAGGATGTAACAGGAGGAAACTGTATATGCAGGCAGATAATTGAGTTCTGTTTTTTTGACATGTCCAGATAGTTCATGTGAATATTGGTGCAAAATTACAGCATTGTAGCTTCGTAACTTTTCACGCCAAAAGTTTATTTGTCTTTGAGCACTTTATTGTGCACAAATATGCAGACTGCATATAGCTAGTTTGAAAACTTACTGATTTTGATTTGATTTCTTGTGTTTTTTTAAATCCTTGGGATCTAATTAGTAGGAAAAGATCAAAACTTGAGCCAAAAGTTTGTATTTGAAAAAGTTATCTACAGGCCATAATTGCTTCTATGGCCAATATGCATTAAATTTTTCAAAATTTATTTTCTATTCTATGACTTTGTAAGTTTTCACACAAAAAATTTATTTGTGTTCTTGTTCACCACTGTACCGATACATACTGATTTTGATTTGGTTCTTTGAATTTTTTTAATTCCTATTGGTCTTATATGGCTCTTTGGCATCTGATTTTAATTTGGTTCTATGGGTCTAATTAGGTGGACAAGTGCACATTTAATGCAAAATTGGGTTATTTGGAAATATTTTTTAATTTTGTGGTATATCGCTAGGAACAACGCCCATAGTTATTTATTAGAGCATTTTTTTTATAGTTTTAACGTGTAGATATCGTTAATTTGAATTTGATTTTAACTCTGTTTTTAAAAATGCGTCTACTGTCTTTATAAGAGTCTGAAAAAACAGCAGATTTCGGACGATATACAAGGTTTACAGAATAGTAATCAAGACAATAGATTTTAATCACAACAGTCATAGTAAGTGAAATTCACTCGTAACTAGTGACTACTCGCTCAGTCAATTTGCTTCGTTTATAGCAACAGGTAAGTCGACTTTTTGAATTCTCTCAAATTTAAGATACATTTTTAAAAATGCCCCCACCCTCCCTATTTTCTATAAGAAAGAAAATATCTAAGTTACATGTAAGAC